GGAGCAGACCCCACCTCTCCAGATCTTCATATATCTTCTTGTTCGCCTGATTATAATTAACTTCATATAACAATGCAGGGTCTTTTGTCAGCAGGATCCCCAAATACTCCATTTGAGATTGATGCCATCTGAATCTATATCTTGCTACCAATTGTCTTGAGGGGTTAAAAAAAAGAACGTCAAGATGTGAGTTTTTTGAATGTTTAGTCTATAACCAGACAGTCTGCCATATTCTTCCAGTATTTCCATAGCAGAGGGATTCCCTCTTCCAGGTTTCCTAGTGTTACCAGCATACCATCCCCGTTGTAACCCCCTCAAGGTTCAAGGTTCTTTATTTGTCACATGCATAGTTATACAAGTATAACACACAGTGAAATGTAGCCTGACACGCTCCTCGAGTGTCTTCCCTGATGCATTGAGCCAACGGCTCAATGAAAAGGTTAAAGAGCAGCGGGCTCAACGGGCAGCCCTGCCTGCAGCCACGTTGTAGTGTTACCCGATTTGAAAGGCTTCCATTAACTTTGATCCTCGCTGTTGGACACATATAAATCATTCGTATACACTGAATAAACCCGTCACATAGCCCAAATCTCTTCAACACATGAAACAGAAACTCCCACCCGACCGTATCGTATGCCTTTTCCGCATCAAGCCCAATGAGAACTGTTCCAGTTTTCCCTTTAAGTATCTAGTCAATAATATGAATGGCCCTTCTGATATTATCGTGTGTTTGTCTGTTACCAATGAAGCCTGTTTGATCCTCCAGCAGTCGATAAGAGGTCTATACCCTCTGGGGTCAGTTTTATCCTTCCCTGCTTTTGGTATGACAGAGATATACGCCTCCCGCCACGATGGTGGGAGCGCCCCCCCACTCAGAGTGTAATTAAAAGAGGCCTTTAGTAGTGGGATTAAGGGTTCCCTCATCTGCCTATACCACTCTGGTGGGAATCCATCACATCCTGGGCTTTAAAAGTCTTGAGTTTTGAGATCCCAATGTTGAGCTCTTCTGCTGATATTTCTCTGACGAGTTTTTCATTCTGCTGCTTACCTATAAATGGCAGATCTAAGCTGGATAAGAAATTCTGAATCTTATGGTAAATGGCCTGTATTTATATAGCCCAAAGCGCTTTACACATACAGTCACACACACATTCACACACTGGTGATGGCAGCTACATTGTAGCGCATTGACAGAGGCGAGGCTGCCGGACACTGGCGCCACCGGGCCCTCTGACCACCACCAGTAGGCGACAGGTGAAGTGTCTTGCCCAAGGACACAACGACCGAGACTGCCGGAGCCGGGGCTCGAACCGGCAACCTTCCGATTACAACGCGAACTCCCAACTCTTGAGCCACGATCGCTCATCCGCTTTACCCGGTTGTGTGTATAGCTCAGCGTAATATTCTTCAAATGTGCTCTGAATTTCTTCGAGTTTATTAGTTATCTTATTTGTTTTTAGATTTCGAACTTTATGAATGTTGTTGCCTCCTGAGTCTCCATGATAATAGCCTAGCAGCTTTGGGTCCTGCCTCATACCACCGTTGTCTATTATATTTTAATTTTCTTTCAATTTCTTCACTTAAAATTTTGTGGATCTCCTGTTTAACCGGCCTCATCTGCTCCAACACGCGGGGGCACCTTGTAACGGTGTGCAGTTGCTCCAATTTTTGCTCTCACCTTCTTTAGGACTGCACATTTTGCAATAATTTTACCCCTAAGGCATGCTTTAGCTGCTGGTCATGATGTCGGTTTGGATATGTGGTGAGAGGGAAACATGAAGGTGATACAAATCATACATATATACCAACAACACAGTGTACATCACTGTCACAACAGCGTTTGTTTTAGTTCAAAGGCTTTATGGTTTTTCCTGTAATACCTGGTGGTGTAGTCGGTGATTTTTTGTCAGTTCAGCCTTTTATATTATGTTTAACCCGAGTGACCACCCGGTCAGCTGGTGGGTAACAGGCATCTCCAAAAACGTTAGAGCACTTATGCAAATATGTGATGTCTTGATGAGTCGAGCAGATATTTGAAGTTTACACAGAAACATTCTCACATGAAAATATCTTAAAAGTTTATTTTGTGACCCAGAAAGAGTAATATTTCAAACTCCGCCCCTCTGTGTTCCTCCGCCACTGCTTCCTTTGAGTTTTGGACCAAATGCATTCTGGGATATTGCATTTCGTCATTTCGAGCTGATTGGAGACCAAAACAGCCAATCAGATTTTTTTGCATCCAAGTCTGTGATTGGCTGGTTTTGTGGCACAAATATAACGGTGTAGAGAAAGAGTTGAGCGCACACGGGCAGAAATGTTGAGAGCGCGAGCAACACAATGCGAGCGAGCGCAAATGCAAAAACTGAGTGAGAGGGGCTGCTGTTGTGTGTGTGTGTGTGTGTGTGGATAATAGCAAACACTGAAATACAGTTTTTGCACGCAGCAATGAATTTTGTTCACTCAAATTCAGCTTTTCTTCGCTCAAAATAAATTTCTCCTCAAAATGAAACACTTGCACCTGCAAACTTTTTTTACGTGCGCCCAGAATAGTGGCACAAAAATGACGCCATATTTCTGGGGCTAGCTTTAAACCCAATCCTCATAGTTAATCCCGAATAATCAGATAAATCTCTGTCCTATTAAACAATCCTTCACTCTGTGGAGGTCTTTACTAAAAGTAAAACAATAATCAATCCTCGAGTACATATCACGTCTCGCTGAATAAAATGTAATGCGTTCATTTTTGTGTAAATATCTCCAAATATCTATAAGCCCCAACTCAGCATTGTTTATACTTGTTTCTCTAATTTAGTTCCCCTCCGGTCTCGGCTAGTTGTATCCCATTTTGGATGGAGAATTGAAATCTCCTGCACATATACATGTTCCAACACTTTCTGCGGCAATAAGACTGAATATCTCCTTAAAGAACCCTGTACTACTACCAGGGGGTGCATATATATTACACAGCGTGACGTCTTCCTGTTCCATTTTCCCTTTCACCAACACAAATCTTCCCTCTTTATGTTCTCCAGTAAACTCAAAAGCTTGTTTGGTATCAGAATGGCCACTCCTCTTTTTTCCCCAGTTCTATGTGAGGCATAATAAATATTTTTGATCCCCGTTCTCTTCCACTCCTCATGTTCTTCGTTTGATATTTTGATTTTTAAACTTTGAAACTATCTTATGACTAAGGTAGTCTCATGTGGACTAAAGTGGTCTCAGGCAGATTAAAAGGTCTAGGTGAGTCATGTACAGTACCTGTTGTACTGCATAAAGACCAGGTTCCAGATCTCCACCACCTCTGGGCTGTCAGCGTTGACGAGCGCCGCCGCCTCTCGCCCACCGACGTGGTCGTAGTGGATCTCGGTGCAGGGACCACAGGGCCCCGTGTCCCCCATCTCCCAAAAGTTGTCCTTGAGTCCGAATGGCAGCAGACGGTGGGTGGGGACCCTGAAGGGACAGCAAGGGTCAGCTGACCTGTAGCAGTGCGGCCCCAGCTGCAGACAGATGTGCACCTACCCGATCTCCAGCCAGATGTTCCGTGTATCCTCATCCGCTGGCAACCCTGCTGCTGCATCACCGCCAAAATAAGAGACATACAGCCTGTCAGCAGGTATCCCGTAATGCTCTGTGAGGAGGCTCCATGCCATCTGACACGCTTCCTCCTGAGTGCACACAGAGCAGAGTGAGCCTCTTTTAAACAGGAAGTAAACTCCCACCTTAAAGAAAACAGGAAGTGGACCCACCTTGAAATAGTCTCCAAACGACCAGTTTCCCAGCATCTCAAAGAAGGTGTGGTGGTAGCCGTCCCGGCCCACGTCATCCAGGTCGTTGTGTTTGCCGCCGGCTCGGACGCATTTTTGGCTGTTGACCACGCGGCGGTACGACGCCATGTTGCTACGAGGGTCCGCTGTGCCCAGGAAGATGGGCTTGAACTGTGAGCGCCACACAAAGATGGAGAGAAGGCTCTGATTGGTTAAATCACAAGGTTTTTTTAAAAAGTGCTTCTCACACGCGCGCGCACACATTAAAACATCATACACACAGAAGGACATATACGCAGACCACTTCCTCCCCCGCCATCTGTGTTTACCTGCACAGGTGTGACAACTGTTGTTAATCTGGACTAAAATATTCAATAAAACGAAACATCAATAAAGTTTAATCGATCCGCAGTCAGCCTCTGACAGGCTCTTATTTTGAAATCTCCCGGTACCCCCGGACCGGGTCGGGTCTGTACTGACCTGGTTCATCCCGGCGTTGACGAACAGCAGGCTCGGGTCTCCTCTGGGCCGGACCGGGGAGGACGGGACCGGCAGGTGTCCGTGTTTGTCCCGGAAAAACTCCACGAAGGCGCTCCGGACCCGGGCGGCGGGCAGCGGCGGCGGTGAGCCGCTGAAGGAGCGCTCTGAGGCGGCGGAGAGGAAGCCCGGCGTCCCGCTGAGCGGCCGGAGCCTCCGCAGGAGCAGCCTCATCATCCAGATCACAGCGAGCCGAGCCGAACCGGTACCGCAAGGACTGCAAGCTGCCAAGACACGCATGCGCACAGCCAGCCGTTTCTTCTTCTCGTGAGGGTGTAAAACCGTCAGAGCTGCGCCGCCACCTGCTGGTGTCACGGTGGAACCGCAGCGTGACGTCATACACAGCTGAGCGCAGGTTCTCCTGCAGAACATCAGCTGATCACGGAACCAGAGAAAAAGGTGACGTCACGGGTCCCCGTCGGAGAGTAACTAAGAACTTGTACTGCAGATTGAGAGTACAGCTGTCTTTAAAGTCACGCAGCAGCGCGTTTCTGCTGTTTCATTGTTTACGCCTCTTGTCCTCGGCCTGGAAGCTGCTGTCCCCGCGTGAATCTCACTGACACGTCGCTCCGTGTTATAAACACAAGTAAAACATCAGCAACCAGTCACATAATAACACAAACATGACGTTAAACAAAAAGCAGCGCTGGTATTTCCGAGCCCGGGCCGGTCAGCGAAGGCCTCAGCAGCACCGCGAGGCTCCGCGCGCCCATCAGACCTGATTAATCCCACCTGAGCTCGCGGGCTCGCGGTTCAGTCCGTGTGCAGGTGACGGAGCGGCGGCGCGATGCAGAAAGGCCTGAAGAAGTACTTCGTGAACATGGACGAGTACCTGTGCAGCCTCGGCCTGTACCGGAAGATGGTGGCACGCGATGCGTCCAGCCTGTTCCGGGCCGTGTCCGAGCAGGTGAGCTGGGTGGCGGGAGGGAGGCGTACCGAGTACAGTTACGGTGTGAGGGAACTTTGTTTAAACTCTGGGTCAAACTGGGCGAGGTCAAAGGTCACAGACGTCAGTGCACACAGTTTCATTCCGCCGCACAAAGCAGGTCTGCGGAGAGTGTGGGCCGAACCAGAACCAGGAGGCAGCGAGCTCATGAGGAGGGACAGCAACACTAACACGTGTCACTAACACGTGTCAGCTTCACACAGTCACCTGTCCTCAGGTGTCTGTGTGAAGCTCCTCCCATCAGCTTCGCTTGTTACTCTGAGTAATCCATTACCTGTGACTCTTACCTCAATGGGAGTGTAGTGGATTACTTTTCTCCTGCAGGAAGAGATTGTCACTCTTGTGTTTTGTTAGAGGTGCAACTTCCTGTTTCCTTCCCGCTGAGGCGTTTGGCAGGTTCCCCAGGAGCGACACACCTGAGCTCACCTGAGCTTTGCTGCTCAGCAGTCTGAGGTTGTCCCTAACTCGTCCCCCTGACTGTTAGTGACGGCTGTTTGTCATCTCTGAGCGGTTTCTGGGTGTGTGCGTCAGCGTGATGGCGACCCGCGAGGCTAACCTCAGAAAAACTGTTCTCGTGTGTGTGTGTGTGTGTGTGTGTGTGTAGTTGTATTTCTCTCAGAATTACCATCAGAAGATCCGTCAGGACTGCGCTAACTTCATGAGAGCCAATAGATGCAACTTTGAGCCGGTGAGTTCAGAGTATTCTGAGTATGAGAGAAATACTCAGTTACTTCATTGTGCTGTGTTTTCTGTCCTCTGCAGTTTGTTGAAGGCTCGTTTGAGAAATACCTGGAACGTCTGGAGGATCCAAAGGTGAATATCTCTGACCTTTGACCTTCAGTCAGCTGTTCACCTGCAGGCAGTGTGTTAACCTGTGTGTGTTTTCAGGAGACGGTGGGTCAGGTGGAGATCAAGGCTCTGTCTCAGCTGTACAGGTGAGTGATGCAGGTATGCTGTGTTTTCTTCGATGACCTCAAAGCAGTCACGGCGTGTTTTGAAACCAGCTGACCTGAGGGGTGTGGCTACTAAACCAGAATTTTCCTTTTGTTTCTTTTTTTGTTTTATACCATCCTAAATCACAATACAATTTTATTTATATAACGCCAAATCACAACAAGCAAGCACTTTGGCGACAGTGGGAAGGAAAAACTCCCTTCTAACAGGAAGAAACCTCTGGCAGAACCGGGCTCAGGGAGGGGCGGGGCCATCTGCTGTGATTGGTTGGGGTGAGAGAAGGAAGACAGGATAAAGACATGCTGTGGAAGAGAGACAGAGGTTAATAACAGA